CAGGATTACTCATTGCTGTTGTTTTCATTCCAATTATCAAATGCACATAATTAGCATAATTAATTATGAATAAAGGGGTACCTAGCTCACTATTAGGTATTACATTAGTTCCTGTAAGGAAAGTACACTACGTATAAAAGTCAAGAAGAAAATCAACATGGATGATTGTATCTGACAGAGCTATAATTTGACTTTTAATTTGTAGCCCAATACCATATCCATCAAAGTAGTACTTCAACTGTGAATTCTATTTCCAATGCATAAGTGGGTCTCAACCAGAAATGTTTTTATTTTTTTGAAATAGTCAAATATTTTTGGTTATTGTAACTGGAAGCATGGTGCAATTAGGATCTTGTGGATAGAGGCCAGGGATGCTAGTAAACATCCTAAGAATGTATAGGACAGTTGCCCACATCAATGATATAAATGGTCCTGAGGATGAGAAATCCTGCCATAGATTTACTGTAGTGAATCTGACATATACAACATCTCTTATCTGGCTTATCATTATATATGTTCTTCGAGGAGAAAAAACTAAAATTTCCTCTTTTCCCCATTATTAAAATAGTGATGGGAAAAAAAGATTAAAGAAATGATATAAGAACTATTTATTAAACCATCTTTGAATGCAGGTACACAGGAGTACATTAAACATTACCTTCAATTTATTTTACTCAAATCACTAGTCCATTTCAATGTATGAACTGCTTTTATTTAATTATTCTTAAGAACGTAATAAGCTGCTACAAATTTGACATCTAAAACAAAAGCTCAAACTTTTTCTTTAATCAACATCTAACCATATGGTCCTTAATCCATGCCTTCTTTCTCCCCTTCCCTTCTTTTGTAGATAACTTTATTTTATACACATATATATGTATATTCCTCAAAAGCATATTTTATACATGTATTTTATATACTTTCATATATTTTATATAGTTTTATAATTATGCATATATAGATATGCATAATTGTACATACAAAAATATATATATAAACTTTAGTCATTTAAGCTTTATAAAAAGGTGTGTGTAATCTCTCCTAACTTCACTTTTTTACTTATACTACAAAGATTCCTTTGTATTGCTGACTGTCAATAAACTTCCCTCATGTAATTGCTGTTAATATTCTTGTCTGACAATTATCACTGTTGATCCATTGTCTTTCGGATGGGCATTAGGATTGTCACAGGTTCCTGCTGCTGTAAGCAGTGAATATCCTGTACATCTTCCAGTTTAAAATGTACACGAATTTGCCTCTAGGATCTGAACTTCTGGGTAAGAGGATAGATAATAAATTTAAGAAATTTTCCAAAGTAGTTTATATGCTCAACAATTTATACCAACAATGTATCTATGAACTGTGTGAAACAGATGGTAGGGGCCCACCTCTCCCTGGGACACTGGGACAGAAGTTAAGCATTATTAGAGCACTATTAAATATTGTGAAAGCACTCCTATTGATAAGCCTTTGTTTTAAGCACCCTCTAAAAGGTTTTTTATCCTTTAAATGTGCTGAGATGTTGCAGGATGAGGAGACTTAATTCCCTAACTGATAGCTGCCAGACCTTTCTCCAGGGCCCAGGCATCCTTGAGCAGAGGGCTGCCAACCAGGTAGCCTGACTTCCCCCATGCCAACACCCAAAGCATGACACCAGTTCCGTAATGCACTGCCCCAAGAAGCAGCTTGTACTGGACTTTGGCTTAACGGAAGACCAACTGCCACAATTGCCACTTTCACCCAGGCCAGAAGGGGTATAGTTCAGCCCAACAGAAGACCTGTGATTGGTGCAAACACAACCCTTCATTTGCATAACAGACTGTACTGTGATTGGTGCACACACTCTTGCCTCACCCCTTCTGGCTATATAAGGAGACTCAACTCACTTTGGGAACAGATGGGAGATAACTACTTGCTGTCCCCTGGCCTTACAATATCAAGTCCAATAAAGGCTTTCTTACAAGTGGTCATGCCCACCTTTGGGGCTGGTAATACAAAGAAAAAGAAGTGAAGATGTAGTGGCAGCAGGGAGGAAGTTGTCTTGATAGTAGGACAGCAGTAAGGCTAGCAAGCTAAGTGGCCTGGGAGAAATGGGTAAGAGTGGTGGGGGCAAGCACCAGCTTGCAGCAGAGAATACTGGGTAGTACAGAGCTATAAACTCGGGTACTTCTAGGGTACAAAGAGCTGTACCACTTTCAGGTCCCCAGTGGTAGAATGACCCTCCTACCCCAGAAGCTGTTAACACTTAGAGCCCAGGATGGCAGAAAGACCCATTCCACCACAGGAGCTGTAACACTTAGGGCCTGAACACTGTGCTGCCTTGGGCCGGAACCCTGGGGCTCAAAGCCTGTGCTGCCACCTTAGCTGTCACAGGCCCAGGACTGACTGTCACTACCCACTGTCACCAACTCTGCTGCCTGCAAATATTGCATGAGCCCACAATAATAGAAGGAGCTTCTCCTCATCTACCTACGAATTCTACCTGGGTAGAGCAAACAAACCCAGAGATAGCTGGTTTTAACACTATAAATGGACAGACTCTCAAATAATCAACATCTTATAGTGTATTTATTGGTTATTTAAAAATATTCCATAAAAATGCTTACTATTATCTTTGGCCATTTTTCTATTAAACTATTCGTGTTCTTACTGATATATAAGAGGTTGGAGGGGATGAACCAATTTGGGTTATAATACATAAATACATGGAAATGTCACATTGAAACTCCCTGTATACCTATCTTAAACAAAAATGCCTTCTTTCAAAAATGGAGAACAGGAAGGTAAAACAGGTTCTGTCTAAGGGTTGGTACCAGTGGGGGCGGGAGGACATAAGGAAAGGGTGGAGGAGGTGAATATGGTGGAAATATTATGTACTCACATACGAAAATGGAAAAACAAGACATGTTGAAATTATTCCAGAAATGAGGGGGTGAAGAATGATGGAGGGGCGATATATTGTAATAACTGTTGCAAATGTCACAACGTGCTCCCAGTACAACAATATAATTTAAAAAATTGTTAAATCTAGTTAATTTGTATTTTGTAGTAAGTTTTTCAAGTTTTTAGCTATGTAAATTCTTCATCTATTAGAGGTAATTTTTTAAAGATTAATCTAATTTTATCCTCTCCATATAAAAAAACCACTGTTTCCAATGCCTTCTTTTCCCAGTGATACACGGTATTTATCATAGAATGTGTCTGGGGTCTCTCTAGTCTTTCTCATTAATTAATTGATCTAACTATGTACTACTACCACATTGTTTAGTCCTTATACAATGCAAGCAAGCCCCTCTCTTCAAGCATACACACAGATTCTTCATTTAACACAAACAATAATAATACACAGGACAAAGTGTCCTGTGTAGTCTTAGCCCTTTACTCTTTAAAAAATTTTCATATCCCATGAAAGGCTGTTACACCTTGACTGAAATTATACTGAATGAACAGGTCAGTTTAGAAAAACTGACACCTTAATTATTATCTTCCTAATCATGATTATAGCATCTGTTTATTTTGTGTAACACCTTTTAATAAACTTCCACTGTTCAGATCTTACACACGTTTGGTTGTTTATGTTCCTAGGTATTGATATTACAAAAACCTCTTTTATTTATAAACTTACTAGGTACTGACTTATAGAAATGCAACTGACCTATTAATCTTCTGTGCAGCCGTTTTGTAAACTCTTATTATTTCACATGTATGACTTAAAGATAACAGGTTTATTTTCTTCTTTCTAATCTTTTTGCCTCCAATTGTGTTTTCTTTTTCAATTTTTGTCTTGACTAGGACCTCAAATTCAATGTTAAATAATATACATATTTCAACTTGGACACTTCAAATATTATAAGTAAGTTTTCTGCACATATAAATTAGAAAGATCAGTTGTAAGGTACGATGGCCAGACTTCCTTTTAATTAAGTCATTAGCAATGAAGTTACACACAGGATTATGCTGAATCTTTGATCGCAACCATGTGTTTTGAGATTATTCTGAGGCAAATGTGTTCATCCTGTATTATTATTTTATTAAATTATATTATATTTAATTTACACAGAATAAAAGGGAAAGTTTTTAACACTCTGAGAAACATTATGATACAGTCAGAAAAATCTAAGCTTAAATCCTGACTTAGGCTGGTGAAGTAACTCAGTGGTACAGCACTTGCCCAGCATGTGTGAGGCACAGGGTTTCATCCATAGCACCACAAAAAATAATAAATACATACATACAGACAGACATATATAAATCCTGACTCAGCCTGCCATTATAGTCATTAGTCCTATAGGCAAGTTACTTGACAAATCTATGTGCTATTAAGTTTCAGGAAGCAGTAATACTCCAGTGCATAGTGAAGAAAATCCCCTTGAATTCTAAAAATATCAATTTTTTTTAATACTCTAGAACATTGCTACATATAGGATTAATTGAAATAAGTTAGATAGTAACTTGGAATGTTCCTTAATAATGCATAAAAACATGCACTACTATGTAACTGTAATAACTTCTAAAAGAAAGATGAATCAATACGCATTTTACCTGGCATATCTGCTTGATCAATTTGAGCCATTGTTATTAAATGTCTGTTGATCAGCTCCTAAGAAAAGGAAACAGGTATTGATATCTAAATACAGCTTCTCAAATCTAGATTTCTTATTGTAACTAAATGACATAAGAATTTTTCTGTTATGTGCACTTTTTAATAATATTCATAAAATACATTACTAAAGAGGTTAAAATGTCTAAATACCAAGCCAGGCATCAGTGGCTCATGCCTGTAACATATTTGGGGGGCTGAGATCAGGAGGATCATGGTTCGAGGCCATCCCAGGCAAAAAGTTTGCAAGATCCCACTTGAACCAACATGCACCTGTCACCTGACAATGGCAGGAAGTCTAAAATTTAAGGACCACAGTCCAGGCAGAAAGCAAGACCCTCTCTCCAAAATAACCAGAGCAAAAAGGCCTGGAGGAGTGGCTCAAGCAGTAAAGTACCTGCCTTGCAAGCATGAAGTCCTGAGGACAAACTCCAGTACCACCAAAAAAAAAAAAAAAAGAAAGCAAAAAAATATCTGAATTCCAGTCCTAGACAGACCTGCCCATAGTTAAGGTTGGGTTTAAGTAGCTCTAATGTACTCCAGAGCATAAGACAAATTCTGTGGCTGAAAACTCAAGGTCTACTACTAAGCTGGTCAATAACTTCTTCTAAAATCATTAGACAAGGGATGGGGATGTAGCTCAGTGGTAAAGTGCTTGCCTAGCATGCCCAAGACTCTGGGTTCCACCCTAAGCACCACAAAACAAAACAACAAGAAAACCCTTTATTTAGTAGAACCTACTTCTGCAAAACAAAAATATTTCTGAGAATTTCTGAGGCACTGGTGGCTCATGCCTGTAATCCTAGCTACTCAGGAGGCAGAGATAAGGAGGATCACGGTTCAAAGCCAGGCTGGGCAAATAGTTCGCGATTTCTCAAAAAACTCTTCACAAAAAAAGGACTGGTAGAGTGGCTCAAGGTGTAGGCCCTGAGGTCAAGCCCCAGTACCACAAAAAAGTAAATAAAAAAATATTTCTGAGAATCTCAGTATAAAATGAAACTATACATATCAAATAACATGTAGCTGTTATTCAAATTCTCATATGTTGCAACTATATTTTACTTATCTTGAGGTATACAGATCCTAGTATATTGCCTGGCATGTATTAGGCATTCAATAAATATGCATTGAGTGAAATGATAAAAAAGAAAAATTCAGTTCTGTTAAAATGAAGCTCATTTCTGTACAAAATTACTCACCCTCAAAATATACCTATTAGCAAAGATTTTAAGGTAAGAAATTAAGAATTCTTTCAATACAAATGATAACAGGAAAGTAGTCCATTTAAATAGTTTTTTCTATATTATATATGTATCTATTATTTGAAATTTTCTTGAAACATGTTTTCTTGAGTAAATATAAATGAAATGTATACATTCTAAATTCTGTCTGCTTTAGTACAGTATATGTGATAAAATAGTATAATCTGAAAAGTGCTGTCCTTTCTTCTGTTCTAGTGAAGAAGACATTATTTCTTCTATAAATTCCAAAAGCATACCTGTCGGAGTTCATCAGCCATGAAGAAAGAAGGTGCATTTGCTTTTGGTTGCATATAGGCAACATGAGGAGCAGTAGGAGGATAAATATGATAGTTTGGAAATACCTAAAAGGGTAGGAAGGGAGGACATGTGATCAATTTTTCCTCTATTGATAAGCTTTATCAATTTTGATAAAAGTTTAATCTTTACAAGACAGTGGTAAATTTTGGTAGATTTTTAAATCTTTAAATGATAAAAGAATTTAAACCTTACAGAAAAGCTGTTACAAGAATATTTTCTAAATGAACTCATTTAAAAAATTCTGTATTTCAATATTCAGTTTTTTCAAAAATTGGAAAAATAAAGAAACCTGCTTTCTTCACTCAAATTATCTTTCAGTCAGATATTACATTTGATGAAAATTAATTTATCAATTTAGGCATCAAAATCTACTTACTGAAATTCAAATATACCTTTTATGTAAGCCTAGCATAATGAAAGCTGATAATAGAATTTAGCTTTCTTACTCAAAGCATTTTATTGAGTAACGTTTATAGAGTTCACTACGAGAAGAAATCTCCCTTCTGGACATATTCTTCTCTGCTTTGCATTCCTGTTTTTTTTTCTGGGTCTGCCTCTTTGCTTCATGATTCTTCTCCCTCTATCCCCAACCCTTTGGTAGCTTTCTCCTTGTCCACAATCATGGCTCCCTTTGTTCTAAATTTTAGCAATGACCCTTATCACCAAGTGTCATTCCACTATCCAGAGATCTAGGAGTTAATTTATTGCCTCATCTGAGGAGAGTTTATCGTCATTTGCTACCAAATGATAGGATACCATCTTTCTTTGGCTTCTTCTTACAGGTAAAACTACCTTTACAATACCTAGACAGTGAATATCAACATTAACTAGCACAAGGTAACAAATGCAAAACAGGCCCTAAAGTACTAAAACAGAGGATGAATATAATCTAATTTCTAATTAAATCCCAAGATTTGTTTAAAACGAGATATTAAGTTAGAACCATAATAATCTGAAGAGCTGAGATGGTGACATATGCCAGAAAAATACTTTAATATCACAATAAAAAGATCTAAGAAGTAGGTAAGCCTACTTATTAATAAAAAGAAACTTTCCTGAGAGTACTGTAATTCTCTCTTTAATGCAGACATACCATTCCAGTCAAAGGTGCTGGAGTTGTGTCTGTATAGAAGTAAGTTGTCCCACCAACAGTTTCCTTCTGGATCACTTGACCAGAAGATGGATTCTGAGAAACAGGATTGTTAACAGGTGTAGAGGAACTAGAAGGCACCATGTAACTTGCTGGATTTGGAGTGTGACTTCTTCTTCTGGGAGCGGGAGAAGTATGTGGAGTAATCTTGGGGGAATGGAGAGGGGAAGATCCAGCAGACAATGACATTCCTAGGAAGATGCAAAGAAGGTTCTTAGTAGAGTAATAACTGAGGAAAAAGAAAAAAAAAAATCAGGAAAATAAAATGCAAACACCCATTTGGAAGAAACAAAATTACATAATTTTTATCTTGTTATGTTTTAGGGAAAGCTGTGATTAAAGTAAATGCAAGTAATTTCTTTTAACAAATTTATTTCCAAATAAATTAGCATATTCATTGCAAGAACAGGCACCTTCATATTAAAATTTACACCAGAGACTTCAACAGCAAGAATGAGAAATTTCAAAAATTTAATAGAACTGTGGGAAATACTAGAACTAAGATTTTTTATGCCTTTTATAAGTCTTTTATTTTTTATAAAGAATCCTTAAAACTACGACTATCTCTTAAAAATGCCACATTCCCAAAAACTACTGTGACATTAAGAATTTAAATTATCTAATAAAGACTTATTAAATTCTTTCAGCCAAATACAATTAACAACTGTCTCAAAAAGAAAAAAAATTAAGATCAAGTGAAATACACAGTAGCTTAATACCACGTTTTTTAAAAATTCAAGTACTATACTGTCTTGATGCCTTTGTCTTTAACTCTAAACAAGTATACACTAAAACTAAAAATTGCTGCAGATGCATACTTGCTAATTTAAAACTAATTGATCCTACTATGTTCTAGGGAAAGTTTTACTTTACTACAACCAGTAAAACCCATTATGGATAGAGCATCCTCTATTAAAAATCTATTGTGCAAAAGACAAGGACAAAAAATCTCTTTACCCTTGAGGAGATTCCAAGCTAGCTTAGAAATCAAGACTGTGTCACATATAAAAGACATAAAATGACTTACAAAACATCAACAGAAGTTAATATACTACAAACTGCATGCATAAATGCAGATGAAATGCAAATTAACTAAAACCAGGTAGAATTAATCAAAGGCTTAATGGAGGTGATCACTTTTGAGCAGAGATTGAAATGGCTGCCTAGAATTACAACTATGCTTCCTGAAAAAACAAGCTTATCAGGAACTGTTAGAATTGTGATGGGGGAATACCTAAAAACCTCCAACACTTAAGTAATATACCAACTCACAATCCAAGAAAAAAGTTACCAAAATTTCCCTCATCACAAAATTATGATTAACAGGGTTCTAATTCCTATAATTCATAAGGCATCAAGCTGTTTTCAGAAAACATGCAAGTGAACAAAATTAAGCTTAAAACTGAGGTAAGACTTGTATCTCTTCTCTGGAAAGCCCTTTGCACTTTCTAATTCTGAACAACTGTAAGTAGATAGGTAGTTGAGCAAGGCAGGAAATAAACATCACAGTATAGATTAGAATTTAGATACAGGGAGTTTATATTATTTAACCAAGGACATGTATACAAATCAACATCAAAGCCAGGACTCAAACCTAAGTCTCCAAATTGCCAATCTAGTACTCCCTACTGTGATAATTCAGCATCTGTTGCATGGGACACTGAATTGGGCCAGAAATTCTCACCTATGACTTCTATGTATCTAAGAGAAACTTTAAAATTCTAAAGCCCTTTCTACTAAAAAAAAAAAAAAAAAAAAAAAAAAAAAAAAGTCAAGATACTATATTGAGATAAAGGCCTAATCTTTATTTTATTTTTTAACTGTTTTAGAACAATGTTTATATCTAACTCAATTATATACATAATAGCAAGTTAATGTACATAGCAAAATTGTGAGGATTATTAGAAGTTAGCACAAATTCTCCCCACTTGTCTAATATTAAATACATTTATACAGTTCTGTTAAAGCCAGCCTCTAAGCCTTTCCAAGACAAAACTGGAAGTCACTAAAGATGAGTAAATTAGTTTATTAACTTCACATTTACCTGTTTATCTATCTATCAATCATTTCTCCACTCATTTTGTGGTTCTGGAGTTTGAACCTGGGGCCTCATGCTTGCTAGGCAGGCACTCTAAACACCTGAGCCACTCCACAAGCCCTCCTTTACATTTATTAACAGCATCTCAATACAGCTACAATTCTTTAGTATTTCCCCTGTGTCAGGCACTAATCTAAATGTTCCACATGTGCCAGTGTACTTAAATCTTCACAACCATATTGTGAGGTAGGTGTATCATATTTATTTCACAGAAGAGAAAACTAAATTAAAGGTCAAAAGACTCATTTCAAGGACAAATATAGATCAGTAAACAACAGAATCAAGATTTAAACTCTGGTCTATTTGATTCCAAGGTCTACATTCTCAGTAAATGTGCTATACAGCTGCCCAATTCCTGTGTTTTATACAGAAAAAAGAAAGAGGATCTGTGACACTTTTTAGTAGCATTAGTATGACTGTTTTAGGCTATACAGGGTGTAGAAAGTGCAGCAAAGGATAATGGGAAAAATTCTGACTCCATGGTAGGTATATAAAAAAGACAAAAAACTCTTCAGGGCTGAATACACACAAATAGGTCATCACAAATAATCTAAGGCCATTTAGAAAGGAAATTCATAAATGGCATAACTTACAGCATCAAGATTTCTCTTAAGATATTTAATACTGTGAAGTTATTTTAATATAAAATTACAGTACTGAAATTTGAGTTCATGTATCTGAGCTATGGCTGACAGTAATAATTTAAATACATTCAAAATAAAACATGTTCAACAGTGAGCATCATCACCCAGAAACATATAATTCTATATGAAGCTAGAAATGAAACGGACCAGTAAATCACTGAAACACAAGGCCTATGTTTTACCTCTATATTTAACAAAGTATTAAGTAACTGACTAAAATATCCAGATATCTGCTTGGAAAAAGGCATAATTTACTTAGAAGTATGATAACAATACAAAAACATACTCACTATTAAATGCTTACATGATACTAAATGAGAAACAGCATAAAGGAGAATACACTACAGAAGCATAATAATAAAAGTGTTGACTTAAAAATGAACTGATTTTTCTCAAATCAAGGGAAGCTGATTCAAAGTTAGGAACTCTTAGTTAAAAACGACATCTTCACTTGCACATTACTCAGTGTTTAACCATAGAAATATTTTCTTAAGAGAATTTTAGGAATCCATTTGATATAATAAAATTGAAGGTGTTTTTAAAACATTAATTTATGATGCATATAACAAGTCCACTCTGCTTCATTAGAAATCATAACTCTCACATATAAATATTCTCTTATAATTTCTCTTTCCCTATATGGAAGGGGAACCACTGACTCCTATGTAACACCCTGACATAAACTGTCACTCTGTTGAAAGAACTCTAAATCAAATACAGCAACATGTAGATCAGCATAAAAGCTAATCTAGAAGAAAGAAATTGGATATTTAAAATATCCAAAATTAGGAGTATTTCACTTTTGTATTGATTTCTGTATTACTATTCTGTCATTTACTGTTAGAATGGCATTTCAGTGACATCACATATAATAATTACAGTATAATTTTTTCTTTTTTGGTGGGACTGGGGTTTGAACTTAGGGCTTCACACTGGCTTCCTAGGCAAGTACTCTACCACTTAAGCCACTCCACCAGCAATTTTTTCTGTTGGGTATTTTTGAGTAGGGTCTCGCAAACTATATGCCTGGGCTGGCTTCAAGCCTTGATCCTCCTGATATCTGCTTCCTGAAAGTAGCCAGGGTGCTCGGCTGCAGTATAACTTAAGTAAATATAGAAAAGTAAATTTAAATCATGTATGATAAATTAATTGCTTTAGGACATTTGACAAATGCTTCTTAAAAGTACCCAATTCAAATAAAAAGTGAGCAACACAGAAATATCTACTGAATAAATTATCAGAGCAATTAACAGAACAAGAAATGAGATAAAACAAAAAGCTAAAGCTAATTTATGGAAGAACAAGTATCATTGTATTTGGATGACATAACTACACTGCTGGAAATCCCAAGACAAGCAAAAACACCTGCAAATAGTGACAAAATTCATCTCAGCAAATGATCACACAGTTAACATACACCAAGTCAATATTCTACTGTTCAAATAGCTAGTTAACACAAGGCTGTTTCTGGAAAATTGAGAGGCAACTAAGACTCATAGTCCTTCCTCAACCCCCACCCCCACCAACATGAATACACAGAACTGTGAGGTAAAAACTCCATAAGCACAAAACTGAAGCAGTATTTGAAACCAGGAGGTTATGTTTGGAAATTTGCAAATCACAACAGTCATTGCAGGTTGAAGTTTAAATGAGCACATGGGCATATGAAATAGAGCCTTGCCTCTATAAAATGCAAAGACTAGAACTAAAACCTCAGTAAAATATAGGGCCAGAAAATTTCTACCTATCTGCCCATAGTATCAAAAGGCAAGAAACAGAGGAAAAGGAAGAAGGCTGGAGGGTTGAGGTGTCTGAGGAAATGGTAATGTGAATTACCCTGACTTGACTATTACACACTACATACCTATACTGAATAATACTGTACACCTTATGAATGGATGTTATGTGTCAATTACAATTTAAGTAAGTAACAGGAAAACTAGCAGCCCATGCTTGTCTCATGCACAGCATGGAAGAGAAAATCCCCACGGGACTCCACATTACAGCAGTCCCAGTGAAAAATTTAATATAAATTTAACTTGCCCTTGTAAAACTCCTTGGGCACACAGATGAAGAAAACATAAAACTACTATGCTGAACACTTCCACAAATGCTGAGGATCATTCTCAGAAAACAATTCCACTGAAAAAAAACTTAAGTGGGACAGGATGACACACACCTGTAATCCTAGCACCTCTAGTTCTCAGAAAGCTGAGGCAGGATTTTAAGTCTGAGGCCAGCCTGTTTCAAGAACTCGTCTCAGAAAACCAAATAAACAAAACAAAAACTCAAAACAAAAAAAGGTATTTGTTCTTTTTTTCTTTTAAACAGAGAAAACTAGGCTAAGAGTGAAAAATCATAAGCACTCAAAGAGAAAAAGCCCTCAAAAGGTAAGTTAAATAGCAAAGGAAACATAATCAAAAAGAGAAATAGTAAATCATAAGGAGCA